CTTGCACATTGTACAAGCTTCTCCATTAAAGTAGCGGCTTGAATCACCACACGACGAGCAGACAACGCCATCAGGAAGGTTGACAATGTCCATGTGCGTGTCTGCCACGTCCTCGTTCGACGCTGGCACCTGACGAGCAATCAGCCTGCCTTGCTTGGGGTCTTCTGCCATGACCATGTGATTGCTTGCCGAGATGACTTGAGAGAGGGTGACATAGTCGCCAAAGTGCACTCCCACCTCGTCCGCCTTGGCCGGGACTTCGCAGTCAGCACCAGGTGTGTTTGCGCACACTTGCAGGTAAAAACGGGTCAAAAGGTCGAGCTTCAAGCCGACAAGCTCCTGGTTGGTGCCATTGGACAAACGCGAGACAGCCAGCACCTGCAGCACGGGCACCAACTTGTAACATCACCTGTACTCGCCGCGATCCATCCCATCCGCCGCATTTCTGGCCCACTGCAACTCCATCCGAATGTGCACGTCTTTCTGATCCTCCGAGTGCCCTCGAGTCGTGCTACTCGCGTGATGGCTGCTCGAACGGCAATGTCAACACAGGCCTCGATCCATCTGCTGCCGTTTGGCCAATTCTCGCCAAGACCCGCATCCTCGAACTCAACAGCACAATCTCGCGTGTTGAATCCTTGATCCAACTAGGCGAGCCGCACCTCTCCGCCGAGTTGCTTGTTGCGCAAATTGCTCGCGACACGCTGTCAGCGCGTTTCGAGAGCCAAGTTGTCGACTCACGCACAAGCATGGACTTGGCCAAGCTGTCCGTCGAACTCGAGGTGGTCGATCTGCAAAACGAGCTGTCTGCGTCCCACACTCGCCAAGAGTCCGATCTGCCGACCAAAACGGTTGCTCTCGAGCAGCTGGAGCTGGACGCTCGTATGGCATCTGCACGAGCGACAATCAACATGCCTGGGAGTGGCGTGACGTCGTACAAGAACATTGGCATGCTCGGATTCGGATACCACATCTTCAAGGGCAACCCTCTTCCGTCGTCCGGTGTCGATCCCGGGTTCACCTTGCCTGTCCTCAAGGTGGATTACTCGATGCGTCGCATGACCGCTGATGGCAGCACGATGCTTCCTGACCGCGTCGCCGTCATTCCGTACGCTTCCGCGCAGTTTGACAGTCGTTCCCACCTCGTAACGACCTCGTCGGAGTACGCAGAAAGCTTGGAAGTGGACGTGTCCATCGAAACCTCCTTCTCGTTCAGTGCTCTCGTTGAAGGTGGAGGTGCCAAGTTTTCGGCGTCGAACGACTACAAGCAGGCCTCAGAGATGCATCAGTCGTCCGAATCTGTTTCAATCACCACCATTGGCACCGTCTTGACATATGTGGCAGAGTTCCTGGATGACACGCCTCCGCTCGCCGACCATGTCATTGAGATGTTCAACGCGCTCCCGCCGCCCGCGTGCTGTGATGGTCTTGTGCTTCCCTCGCACGCTGGAGTGAGCAAGGATCGTTCGGCGTGCACCGCAATCCATGCAAACTGTGGCGACCTTTACCTTCGGTTTTTGGACAAGGTGGGGACCCACACCCTCATCGGCGTCCACATGGGCGGGAAGTCCATTCGAGTGTACACCATGGCACAAACCGAGTTTGAGTCGAGCGTGGAACAGTCGGATGCGTTCAAGTCATCATTGTCGCTTTCGTCTTCTGGAATCGAGTCGAGCTCCATCGACACGTCCTTGAGCATCAACAAGCAAAGCTCCCTTAAGCAAGCCGTCAAGGATCGCACCGAGTCCCGCCGCGAGACGTTCATGGGTGGTGACCCAACCGCAGGCACAAATGATCCGGAAGACCCCACAAACATGGACGGTGACAAGGAGTGGAGCACGACGGTGTCGAAGAATCCAGTTCCGATCAAGTACGAGTGCGAGTGCCAGCGCCGCACGCAGGTTCACAGGATGACCACGTCGACACTTCCCACTTGAGCTCACATCCAGAAGTGCAGTTGCAGCTCGGGCAGGTTGTGGAGTTTGGCATCTGCAGACCGTGCATCTCACAGAGAGACGCCGAAACTGGAACTTCCGAGCCGCTACTGCCAGTGTTGTGCAAGCATTGAAGCGTCGATTGCCGCGCCTCGGAAAACTGGCACGAGGTTTCAGTGCAAAGACAATTGCCACAGAGCTGTCGATACTCGTAGTCACAATCGAAAGCATCGCATGCAACTGTTGCGGGCGGGCGAGTGCTGGACCGACAGAACGAATCGTCCACGACAATGTATTGAGGCTGTCCGTTGTCGCTGTGGGTGCGCTCATAGCATTGAATAATTGCATGTTGAACACCTGCGCCGCATCGCGCAGAACAGTCGCTCAACGAAGTGTTACGCCAAAGGAAGCGTCGCAGGTTGAACGACAGAGTAAACTCGTCACGGTCGAAACTCGCTTTACCGACTTGGTCCAGGTCGAGGCGGAGAGCGAGTCCGTTGTTGGCAAGATCACCATTCAGCCACGAAGCCACCAAATCATCGAGTGCCGACTCAAAGGATGCATCCGTGACAACCCGCTGCTGGTTGTCGCTGTTGGTGATGTCGAGCTGTGCGATGGCGGCTGAATTGAGCTGCGGCAGTGAGCTCGTACTAGCTGGGTGCCAGTCAGAAAGCACCGAGTACACCAGGTAATTCTGTGGACTGGAGGCCAAAACGGAAGCGCCCAGTGATGCATTCGAGACGTGGACCACCTCGCCAGCCAAGCGAATGTCGTTGGCAAGATATGCCAGATCAAACGACACAAGAGGGAGACAATCGCGCTCAAAGCCGCCAATGACACGGACGCGATCAAGTGCGAGCTGCACAGCACGATCAGAGACGCCCTGAATCTCCAGGTACGCGGCCTGGGTGGCATCCACATTCGCCCAGATGTGTGTGCGTTGGCCAAAGACGCGAGTCGAACGAAGCGGCAGGTCGGCAGAATTGTACAGGACAATATCAAACACCTCAGCGTAGTGCGCTGGATGCTCATCCATGTACACAGTTGGAATGGAGAGCTCGACTCGAT